TGTATTCTAATCACAAGTTTCAGCGGGCCCATAATCGACTCACCAACAGTCTATAGAATTAATAATTTAACCATGAACCACTAATTTGTTTAGCTCAATGTCGAGTCCAAGTAAAAACAAATATATATGGTTATTACTTATTAGAAAATCGTCATTTTCCACTATGGTATTTGTATGTGTAATTAAAATACCCTCGAATAAATGGGTATCCATACTCAACTCATACACATTTAGATTATGGAAGTAAATATTCACACCCTACCCAAACCCATATATACGTCACTCATACCCTACCCATAATCAATGAGTCTACTTTGGTTTAGGTAAATATCATTGATTAGCCAAAAATTTTAAATTTTTTTTTTTAAATTGGATGTTAACCGCCATATATCTCTTCTTGGTTAATTTCATAATGTCAAGTCAATATTACTAACAGAAATGCTAAAAAAACATTAATTTTAGACTAATAATACTAACAAAACATCATAACAGATCACATAATACATACACATACGCCATCTTCCCGCGTCAAGGCGCGGCATCGCCACCTAGTAGCTACTTATTTTTAGCTTCTTAACTAACCAATTGATATCAGTTCTTAACTAACCAATTGATATCAGACTAATAATTATGTTTTGTATGGGCTTTGATTGTGATGTTATTAAGACATGGAAATATATCAGGTCCGGTTCAATATAATTCATGTTAATGCGATTTACAGTATCAAATATTATATTACACACGCCTAACTTTTATTAGGCATTTAGTCCATTGAACGAGATACTTGCAAGGTGCAAGAAAACCAATTTTTCAAAATCGGGCTGGATTTTCAACCGAAAAAGTTAGTGGTTTATGATTCAACAATTAATTGTTATAGAACCATTGTTACTTGTTGATAGAATCGTTCATGCGCTATAATATAAAGACATATTTATACACTAACTTATGAGTGAATTTATCACTGACCCATAAACATTTCAAATCCATATCATCCTATCACCAAAAGGTTCTAAGAAAGCATTCAAACTATCTCACAAAAGAAATCATGATTTTTTTTATTAAATTTAAGGCAATAATAAGAGTGACAATCAATAGAGAACAAGATAAATTCGACAAGAAGGTTGAAAAATGAATAAATGAAGCATAAATAAAATTAGTGATTGAGGTTTGATGGTTTTAGTTTAAGTTAACGTATTTTTCCTTTATTTTTTGTGGTTAAAATAGTGAACCGGTGGATTAGTTAAACCGCGGTGGTTCATCTGGTTTCATGTCAAACCGATAAAAATCATTTTGTTCATCTCTAGATGTCTAATCAAATGAACCAAACCACTATTGTAACTGATTTAGTGATTCTAATGACCCAATCGTTGATCCGGTTTGGCGCTTATACGACGAAAACTAATAAGATAATATTTGAAGTCTACAATAATTGAATATGACAAAATTTAAAAATTTAGAGAGCTTAACTCAACATTTCATTTCAAAATTTATACTACACACAAATAGTGGAATTACTTAATTGAATAGGAATATAAAAAATGGCAATACCTGGCAATTGCATTCCTGCTACACCTACATAAATTTGCAATTAAGTAGCCACAATTGCTACGGACAATAGTGCAGAGAAGGCTAGCCACAATTGCTACGTAACTTCAAGTTGTGGACAAAATCACTGAGGCTAACTTTGTTGTTTTGGATCGAGTAGAGATGTATTTTCGAATATCGGCTTAAAAGCTATTCTACGGCAACAATAGAATAAGAAGATTAACACCTGCTACAAATTGAGGGAATGATACTGAAGTTTGATATCAAGCTCACATATTACATTACTAATCAACAAGTGAGTACACAATTTCCAGGATAGGGGAGGACGAGAAGACCAAAACTCATACGATCTCTTGACTCGATCGAGGTAAATTATACTTGCATGAAAATGATGATCACTATTAATAACATTTTTTGTTCTCTATTGGATTTGGAGTATATTCGAAACGCGCACCCTCTAATTATTATTTAAGTAACCTGTATTCCATGTCTACTTCTCACATGTTGATTTTCCAAAGCAATTAATTGCATCTATCGTCGAGTGAATAAATTGTTATCAATTGTATACCATGATACAAGTACCAATGATGAGGAGAAAGAATAAATAATGGATATTGTTCATAATTTGGATGAGGTAAATTCTACTCTAATGAAAACAAGGAAGATTCTTATTGAAATGGAAGAGAAAAAAGAAGAGGAAATTAAAAATGGAGATAAATGTATCACTTACAGAGATGAAGACATTAACATTGGTATAGATGATGGAGGAAGTGCAAATAAGTCAAAATGAAAATGTGCATTAATCTCTAGAGATGAATAAATATAATGGTGATTTTAAAATGTTTTAGGAGTCCGTTTGGGTTTGCCTTTCATTTTCGCAAAATGATTTTAATCAATGAGTCAGTTACAATGTCGTTAAACCTTATAATATTAACCATTTTGAACTGTTGAAATACTATAATAATATGGATTCTTTTATTCCACAAATCAATTTGAATGTTTCGAGTACTTGAGTAATTTAGATTTTCTTATACTATAAAAACCAGTGTATGTCACATACAATTTGATAATGTTGTTTATGTAATTCGCTGCTAAATCCGGCCAAATGGTCGGGCGCGTGACTAGTTTCGTTTGTTGTTTTGTGTTTCTGGAGAAGAGAACGAGAGAGCGAGAGAGAAGAAGAGTCGTCTCGTTTTTTCTTTTGGTCAGAGAGGAAAAGAAAGTTTGAGCGGCGGAATGGTTGAGGCAGAATTAGGATTTTTTTAGGATGTTTATATACCCTGGCGAAACGCAGAAACAAAAAAAAATAGTGTCCAGCGAGATTCGAACTCGCAAGCTCGATCTCCCAATAAACGCCCCTATTGCACCTTGAACACTCAGACAGTTTTCCATTCCTTGCCATGCTAGCTATGACATTTAATTTTATTGTTGATCAAGCTTAATACACAAATCCATATCGACTAATCATGTTAAAATCTCTTTTTTTTACCAATATAAGATTATCCCAAAATATTAACAATCTTGATTAATATCCTCGTTTGGGCTTCTATTGTTCATACATATACTCACTTACCTAGTAAATTTCCTTAATGCGAACTCATGGTCAATAGACCGTGATGGTCATTCTCGATGAAATTCTTACAAAGATAACTTATCATTCAATCACTAAAAATCATAAATACACTTCCTAACAACTCAAATTATCTTCCTAATCACCGATCAATATAAACGTGTTTAGGTGCCCTTTTCAAAAACCATATCAAAATGATCCAACTAACAAATTTCTTCACAATTTAACGTGCAAACGATCCAACTATCAAATATTAATAACTATCTAATTAATCAAATCATAAAATTAAATACATAAATAAGGCACAAATAATAATACACCCAACCCTTAAAAACTTATTGATTTACGTAGTGCGAATTTCGGGCGTTGCGGGGTGTGAATACACTTCCCCACACGTAACCGTACTCCCGAACCTGGAACTTTGAAATTTCGTAGACCAGAATCCGGTTCTGACCCTAAGATCGAGACCAGACCAAATGAATGTTAGATCCACTACAACTAAGATCGATGGCGACTCCGACCAATTCTCGACGGATCCCTCGAATCGGAGGGGCGGTTGCGGCAGTGGCGACTCCGCTGAGGACATTTGTGAGTCAAGCTACAATAATTAAATCAATAAGTTTTTCCTACTTTGTTTGATATCTTGGGTGTTTTTTATTTATTTATTTGCGCATCTATATTGTCGTTTATTAAACTTATTCACATTCATTCATAAAAGCTCTATACCTGAGCTCTCCCGTTAGAAAATGAAAGGAGTATCGTGACTTCTACAATAGTAGAGGAATCACGGGAAACTTTCTAACCAAGTTGAACTCAAATCCGAGGTTGATTTGAGGTATTTGACTAACTCGAAAGGGTTAAAGTTGAATACAACTTGGGGGCAATTCCCTAGAACTCATTACCCAGCATATAGTTAGCTAAAATGTCGTCTTAAGCCATCTAGAACTTATCCCAGAGTCACATTGAAACTCGTCGTTAAACTCTTCACAAATCCTAGGTTTATCTAATATGAGTCATGTTTGTTACAACTTTTATATAAGCTTGCTTATGACGTGAGAATTGTGCTTTATCGGTGATTCATAAGTGACGTGGTTTGATTATATGCACAAAATTTTTTAACTCGTGATTATCATTCTCTATTCATTCATTATACGATCAATCATGAGGTAATTTTACCAGCATTCATGCATCAACTAAAAATATCAGATTATCAGATTGCATATGCGCATACACATCATTTAGCTTGACCATCATGCAATCATCTCATTTAGCACCTTGGAACAACTTAACAATATCAACCGTTTCTAAAATTGCTCATCCACAAGGACAAATTCATACCTTAAGTAGTCGATCAGATTCAAAGTTGTGCTTGTTATGGAGGCATCTCCCTATTGTATTTTTAGATGTTCTTAGTTTTGGTTGAGTGATTTTTTTTCCATTCTACTGCTATATTTAGCTTCTGTTCTTGGAATTGGTTGAGCTTAAATTTCACTATCTTTAGTATTTATTGATGTGCATGTTTACCTCTTGGGAGAAGCATAGTTTGGGCTTGGGCTTTGAGAACTTGGAAAGATAATTGAGTCGAACTCAAAACTATTGAGGTGGTAGAATGAGAACTTGAAAATGGATTCCAATAATTTGCGTTACCCTACAAAGTTGTTTCGTAGTCACAATGGAATATTTTGGAAATAAAAGCCGTTGCAGACTTGCAGTGGCTCTAATCATGCCATGCTTAGTTTCCTTCTACTGGTAACCAATGAACTTGATTCGTTTGAATGATGGACAGCATGTACCAGTACCACCATCAACCAGATACTAAGACTAACAAAAGTAGTGAGAGTTGTATGTTGCAGCTCCAACAGCACGCTTACATGCAAATGACGACTTATGAACTGGCCAGTTGCTGAGAGTCGGACCATAGCATTAGAGTGGCCAGAAGTGCAATTGTAGCAGTTTCAACACGCAGCCTCAGTGGCCCAAGACCAACACTAATAGCACCAGTTTCCTTAAGCATATCCAACTCTTTCACTGTGAAATCTGCACATGATCAGCACAATGTCAAATGACAATTGCTTAATTACCCAAATTATATAAACCTAAGTCTGCAGGCTACCCTAGATACTGGAACTATGTCAAATCGCCCAAAAAACATGAAATGAAATACTGTTGCACGTTAATACTAGTATTGGCTGGCTCTGAACATCCATATGCCGAAGGGAATTCTTTTGGTAAGGATTAAACATATTCTGTAACTATCCATCGAAGAAACTTAAACATCCACTGCAGTAGTCTCAGTCCATAAGATGCAAAAAGGACCAAGAAGAATCCAACAGTTCAATGACAAGGCTGAAGGAAAAGAATAACCAAGGAAAGAGAACCCATGTAAATAATCACGAATGTATATGTAGCCATAGAAGTGCGACAAAAGATTCGTAATAACCTCCTTCTGGTCCCACGATTATCAATCCGCTCGCTTCGTTCCTATATGAAGCTATTGTGCTAACGAGCGGTGTAGCTTCTGCTGTTGCCAAAAAAGATAGCTTTGACTGGGAAACCTTGAAGCACAAGTGCACAACATAGATCCATTTGTGAGATGTAGCAAAATAAAATCATGATTCTCCTACATATAGTTTTGAATTACACAAGAGCAAAACAAAGAAAACTTTCCACTCATGACAATAGATTATAACACAGGTCACCACTTTCCTGTCTACGTAGCTGGTCTTCCATAAAATAAGGCTGTTCCTAACTTCTTAGGCCCAAAATTTCGTTTATTAGTCTCCCTGCTGGAGAAGGTAAAGTATAATTCCTTATTCTAATCCCTTCCCATATCTAATTACTAATTACATATTACATCTTGAGAACTCATCCTGTTCCTTTTTACAAGCTTGTCCAGACACGCTCTGTTGCTGAGCCAAATCAGTAGACAAAAAGGAAAGTAAGTACTCACAAGAGGTAAGAGCCCATCAATGTTCAATGGAGGATTCAGAATCATCTCATGCAGTCGCTGACCTAGTAAGTGCAAGAAGGAAAATGAAATAGATAAACAATCTGCAACAAACTGAAGCATATAATCGAATAGCACAAAACAACATCATCAGGGGTGCATTTAAAATATCACCACAGAAGTACATTTACTTTGTTTAGTTGCTGCTAAAACAACACGCTGTAAGCGATCAACTCGGTTATTGGATATTGATGGGGAACGCTCTGTCAGCAGAGGGGTCACACTATGTGCTCCAAGCTCCTGAAGGCAAGGTAGGAGGGCACCAAATCAGAAGAGAGATGAACTTAGGGCCATTACATCAACACAACAGACCATACAGCACTTAAGAGTTAAGTCATAAGACCTACTGTGCATTTCTCTACAAGCCAGTCAGCTCGACCACCCTTTAGCGTACCTATGAAAGGGTTTGAATTGTGTTAGACTTTGTTGCCACTTGTTATGCTAATTCAGTTCCTAACTCACCAAATGCTGCAAAGACTTGCCACTGAGTATTTCGAGGAAGAACTAGCTTGGGACTTTCCAGCGCCTCAAAATCAAGCCCGGCACGATCTATTCTTTGTATGCACCCTTCTACTAGACCTCCTTTACCATTGAAGAGTTCCACTCTGGCATTGATCATCATTTAGAAAGAAAAGAAAAAAAAAACAAAGTAAAACAAGACTATACACTTTGAAATATTTGACATATATTATCAGCCAGAAGAACATTCTAGAGATTTGACAATTAGGTTACTGCTACGCTTCCACATCTTTCACTGAGAAAATAAAAGGAGAAAAGACAAAGAAGGTCCCAGATCCCTAATCTGATGAAAGAAAATTCCCTAAGAAGTGCAGGAGTTAAACAAGAACACTAATTCGAAAGCTATCATATCTCTCCTCAAAAATTCACTCCAATACATTATGGCCACTGAGAGACTGGTGTGTGCTTCCGAAACAATAATCTCAAACTTTATGCAAGTAGCAACGCTGTACAAGGCTGGTTCTCATATAGAACCACCAAGAAAACAGGATGCAAAATACAGCTTGTAACCACCATTAAACAATACCTGTCATTGGTGGTCAACCTCAGGACTTTGGTCATGTGCCAGAACTCATCTCCTTGTACACGAACAACAGCACCCTGCAGAATTAATGGAATGAAGATGCGAACCTCCAATAACCATGTCTAGATTTATGCAATATATTTTGTGGGTCACTGAACTGAAAACCTAATCTCCTGTGACCTTTAGTATAAATAGAGTTATTGGCAAAGTGCAACATTTAGGAGCCTGCATCAAAGTGGTAGTATAGAGATCTAAGTTTTTAGTCTGTAAGGAAAATTCTTTCAGATATCTCTCAGTGTAGTAGAAACAACTGAAAACTTTGCAATACGGAATTTGGCAGAAATCAAAAGCTCCCGTTAGTACTTCAACCTACTTCGATTCAGCGATACTCATGGATTCGCTCCCTATCTACAGAGTTTCCTTCCTGCCTTTTCCTCTATCAAGAAATGTGAATGTGATGCAGAGAATATTAGAGGAAGAACATAATGTATACTACTACACCTCATGTTTCGCAGATTTACAGTGAGCAACATGCAATACAGTTTGGTTGCTCCAATCATCCTCATTTCTCAGTACTAATTTGAAGGAAGTAGCATTTTCAACCTTCCAACAAAACGATATACCATGTTCTTATCACTAAGCTACGGCATCTAGGGAATCATTTTACGAGTCATAGAGTTCTCAGGGGTCCCTCTTTTGCCGAGTAGCAAGCAGAAAAGAAAACAACAATACGAACTCTTAAACTAAATGGGAAGCAGATAAAAGGGAGTGCCTTAGAAGAGGGAAGCTGTTCGGAGAAGAAGCGAGGGAGCCCACCGCGGGATTGGTTGGAGCAGTCCGACGACGAGAATCCCCGGATGTCCACACCTTTAATCCAACGCAGAGTAGAGAGCCGTCCAAAGCAAGGCGTCGCTAATCCGCTCATTTTTCGCTCGTTTACTTCCCCGAAGCGACGGAGTGCAGTCGGCAGTGGCCGCTCCGCCGCCGCAGCCGATGAAAGCAAACTAGTAAGAAAGCCGTTTTTCCAGGTTTTCTTCACTTTTTTATTTTATTTATTATCATAGTTTACTTTGAGCAAGGTTGTTGCTTTCCGCGAAAACGACGTAGTGTAGGGATACCCATGCCATGGCGGCACAATAATGAAGAGTGAAACCAAAGCATAATCCATGACCTTAGAAAACTAATTATCATCCATCGATTAAGATTTTGGGAAAATGTTGCAGCTAGCTAGGCGGTGCATCTACTAATATATATATATATACGCAGACGGCTTCCAATTTGCCTCCGAAGCCGGTAGCGTTCAATCCTCCTCGCCACCGCCCGCGGCCTTGCCATCTCCTTGGAAGCCACCGCCGAGTTCACAAACTCTCTCCCAAACCTCCACCGGCACCGCCACGACCGACAGCCTGGGCTGCCTGAACAGCACGAAACCCTGCAACCCACCATCGGCTTTCATCTCTTTCAGGTCCACCGGCCTCCTCATCTCCCCCACGGCCATCACGTCCACCGCTCCAGTCGCTTCGTGCCACTCTTTGGCCACCGTAACGACGCCGACCACCCGACGGGCGCGGGCACCGGAGTGGTAGAAGAAACAGAGGTCGCCAATTCTCATAGACTTGAGGTTCTTCTGGGCTTGCTTGTTCTTCACTCCGTCCCAGTTGCTTAATCCGCCGTTGGCTGCCTGGTCCTCCCACGACCACTCCGCTGCCTCCGTCTTCAAAAGCCAGAACCGCTTCTCGTCTTTCCCCCTCATCGTCATCATCGGCTTGCCCCTCTCTTCGTTGCAGTCAAGGAGATATGAAGGATTAGTTTCCCTTGCTGGGGCACGCAGTTGGAGTAATTTCCGTGGTGAGGTTGGGGAAAAGCAAGCGAATGTGTTGCTCAGGGACCCAAAAAGGCGGGAATTGGAGAAGTTTGGCGCCTTAGGGAATTCGTTGGGCGGCGGGCATAAATGTTAGAATTGGGCGACTTAAAAGCTTCAGATTCAGGGATATACTTGAATTCGGCCTAATCCGCTAATAGGGTAGAATAAAACTCCAACCCGAATACTGTGGGCAATGAGTGGACATAGGTTTCTAACTATCTAATCCGAACCCGCCAGATTATACGCATGCATATGTATTTTGTCTAGAAATAATTATTATTTTTCTTTAACATATTTTATATTTAGCATATAAATATAATATTTTCATGTAATTGTGTTGTTTTAGTTAATTTTCTTCGTTCTAGTGAACTATTGTCATACTTTTCCTCAAACGTAATGTGAGAATACGTGTGAATGTTAACAAATTGGTTGGAGTTATAAAGAGAAATTATTATCCATGGATAACCGTGGATTCCCGAAACTCGAACGGGTATCAGCATTGTTTTAATTTTCTAACCATTTCACATATGGGTATGGGTAAAACCCGAACTACTTTGGGTAGGATAACGGATATGCACTATCCGTCCCCGACTTGACCCTACCCATTGTCATCCCTATTTAGATTGACCGATATCTAAAACCAAGGAAGCTTACCAATAAAAATTCCACGGTTTTTTTCGGTAAATACACATGTTCTCAACAAATATTTCCAAAATACATACGTTATAAAAAATTTCTCAATCTACACATATTTGAACAAGACTGTTGTCGTCAAACGCGGTAAAACAATTCACTGCTTTTATTAAACGCGGTAAAAACATCACCATCATTGTCAAAGGCGGTGAAATATTTTTGAACTATCATTAGAGCGGTGAATAAGTCACTGCTGATCTGTAACGCGTCAGCTGTCAGATCTGGGAAGTAAAACAAAATCTGCGGCTCATCGCATTCGACGAGTGCAGTTAACGGGAGGGGCGACGCAGATCGTTGACGTGGACAACAACGTATTCATTTCCCTTGAGGAACGCGGTGGATTCACTGTCATCCACGTCGGCAATCCACATCGCCTCGCATGTGAACCGTGCCCGTTGGATGGAGTGAGGCGCGAATTCCGATTTTTCTCCCAAACTCGACGCCTTAGAGCGACCCATGTTAGCGATCCCTGCCATTCACCGTTTTCGACTGATTCAGTGAATTAGCTGCATCCGACGGTCGCGATGACTTCGCTGCAGTGGAAGACTATGATGACCTCGTGTGGTTGTCTTCAACAGTCTCCTCCTCTTGATAAATTCAGCCCTCCCCTCCCCATTTCAACCACACCACCACACTTCACAATTCTTTCTCCCTCCTTTTCTCCACCTTAGCAATTTCGATTATGGTCTGTGGTTGCGGTTAAGGTCGATCCTCCACAGCATAATAAATTCCTTGAGTTATTTCCTACATCTCTCCTACATCTCTCCCTTTGTGATTTACTTTTTTGTTATCGAAATAATTTGATTTCATTCAATTTTTTTATAGATGGGTGCTGAGATCTACAATCCTCGATTTTATATCGACCCAGGGCCAAGGGACGCGAGGTATATAACCGAGCAAGCAACACATCACTCCCATGCAATTTGGCACAACAATCTGGTAGGCACGCCGTACTGTCCAAAAATTTCATTTTCAATATTTTGAAACTTTGTGGGTTAATGCCACATTTAGTCACTGGTATTAATAAATTGTGTCATGTTTAGTCACTAGAAAAAATTAATATCAAATTTGGTCACTCATATTACTAAAACAGGTCGCATTTAGTCACTCTCCGTTAGTCTCCGTCCAAATCCTTTAACAGAGCCCGTTAAGTGATGACGTGGCTAACGGGAGCGCCTAGTCAGCGTTGTTTTGGAAAAAAATGACAAAATCCGACCCGCCACGTCACGTCACTAAACCGGCCATGTCATACACCCAACCCAACCTATTAACCCAATCAGACCCATAACCAAACCTGACCCACTTAACCAAACCCTTTATCTTCCTCGAGAATCGAAGAATGGGTTCCGGATCCCGACGGTTCTTTCTCCTCTGCCACTGCCGCTTTCCATGCACCCGTCGAAGACGACGCCCCCACCGCAGAGGTCCCTTCCGTCTACAACCTCTCCTTCAACCAGGATTGCAGATGCTTTGTCGCAGGTCTCGACCACGAAATCCGGATCTACACCACCGACAACTGGTTCCGCGACATGGATTCTTCTTCTCCCTCTTTCTCGTTCCCGCGCGGCGGAATCAAACTCGTCGCCATGCTTTTCAGATGCAACATGCTCTGCTTCATTGGCGGCGGCTCCGAGCCTCTCTATTTGACAAATAAGGTCAAGATCTGGGACAACCACCTCTCGCACTGCTTCTTTCCATTCCGAATTTGATCTCTCTTTCCCCTCCTAAACACTAGTCGGCCTCTCCTCTATCCCATAGCCGCCTTCACTTCATCCTTTCCAAAATCCAGATTAAGGACGACCAGAACCCACCCTCTCTGCTTCTTCTTATCTTTAGTCGTTACGCTCAATTGGAATCACCGCTGCCAACCGAGAGTCCAGTCCCTGTATCTTCTCCCCGCATGTGAATCCTCGCCGCAAATCGAGAGTTCCGTCTTATTGATCTCCACTACAGACTAGCCTCCGCCCAACAGTCCATTTCCTCTGCGGCCAGAGCAACATACGGCGCCATCCAAATGGTTGGTGGGAAAGCTATGTTGATTTGTTGATAAATTTGAAATTCAATGTTGTTGAATATGCAATTTTAGATTAGGCAAAATACACTTATATAGCCAAAACTGTGATGGTTTGGCCAAATATAGCCACTTTTGGCGAAATACCAAAAATAGCCACTTCCGTCCAATTCTTTAACGGCGTGAGTTAACGTGCTGACTGGACTAACGGATCGTCCGATCAGACAATTTTTATTTCATACATATTTTCCACGTGGATTTAATTAAAAATAATTAAAAGTTAAAATTTCAAATGGCCGAGTCTTTGATTTGTGGAAAATAAAAAAATACATTTAGAAACTTTGTCGGCCACAAAAATTCCAAATCTCAACTTACTCCCCCTCTATGATGTCAAAAAAAAAAAACTTACTCCCCACTCTCTTCCTTCGTTCACGAAACCCTTTCTCTCTCCCTAGAATCACCGTCGTCAAAGGATCAAGACCAAGTCTGGTAAGAAGAATTTGAATCAGAGGTCTCTTGGAGAAAGAAAACCGCAATGGTCTGTACCCATGAATATCACTGAATCTTGACTTCTCTCTGTATGCATTCAATTGAAATGCGATTGGTCGGTTTAGGGATGCAGGGCCAGCGACGTAAGATGAGAGTGGTCGTGTAGCTGCAGCTTGGAAGAGAGACCGCGTAAATCGACGGAAGAGGAAGAAGGGTTCGAACTCCTTTTGTTGTGCTCTTTACTCGTTGGTAAGTTCTGGGTAAGCATATTTCCAAGTGAGGGTTTATCTTCTTGCCCTAACCAGTTGCTGAAAACGCCGACGATGGTGTGAGAGGAGAAAAGACGGCAGCATCGAGAAATTCATCAAGGGAAGCAGGAAAAAATTCCCTCTGTTCGGATCTGCAATCCGTCTATCCATCTATCCATCTCCGGCTGTAAATGAATCCGTCTCTGCCACCAATTTAGAATCACCATCGTTGCCTTCTGGATTTGGTTCTTTAGGGATTTGGGGTTTTCTATTGCACCAACACTCTGTAACAGTCGCCGCCGTCCTTCAGCTCGTGCTCGAGTATACTCCCAATGCCGAGGCCAAAGTAGCAGAGGAGATGGGATGGGAAAAGGAGCTAAAGAGAGACGAAGAGGGAAATCACAAAAGTGATTGAGGGGGCGGCGGAGACGGTGGATCTGGACCAGGAAGGCTTGATGGCGGCAGAAGATGCAGGGGAGGTGCTGGTTTTTGGCTTTGGAATTCTAGGTTTCTCCATGGAGGTTTTGGCTATGGTTGTTATGCTTTTGGCTTTTGGAGGTCTATGGAATCAGAGAGGGTGAGAGAGAGATGATTGGAGAGAGAGGATGGAGAAAATAATTAAAAGACTTAGGATAATTAAGGAAAAAAATATTTTAAAAAATATTTTTTTATAATTCAAAATGACATGTCAATCATATGATGACCTGTCGCTGACGTGTGTGGTGATTTGGCATCCCAATCAGTTTAAAGTTAACGTAACTGACGGTGTCACTAACACCGTTAAAATATGTAACGGAATTGACTATATTTGTCATTAAACTTTTAAAATTCTGGCTATATTTGGTATTTCGCCAAAAGTGGCTATTATTGTCACAAACGTGAAAGTTTTGGCTACACATATGAATTTTGCCTTTAGATTATTATGCTGCTAAATCCAATCTTTTTTTGTATTTGATTTGGTTTAATAGGTTGGGTTTATGTTGTATGACGTGTCGGGTGTAACATCCTAGTCCGGCCGTACACTTATTTTACTAAAATGCCCTTGAAATTAAAACACTCAAAGCTTAAACTGCAGCGGGAACAATTTCACAAATAAAATACTGAAAACACACTCTTTTAATTTAAAGCAACGCCCTAACACGTGGGCAAATTAAACTCAAACTTTAATATCTCAATCTAACCTCCAATCTATACTCATAATCATACAACATAATAACTAACTAGTCTCAACTACTGTTGTTGCTCCTAGGAAGCTCTGCCTGGACATCCTCCAAGACGCTCGTATCGTTCTCCTCTAGCTGGCTTCCCACGAACTGTTTCTCTCGATCACGCTGCTCTCTAGCTCCTCCTCCTCTTCCTCCTAACTGGTGAGAGAGTTGGGGTCAGTCTACGCCCTTACGATTTAGACTTCCTAATGCTTAGCACTTTACTTAAAACACTTACCTAAATTGGTGGAATTTGTTTGTACTTCCGCTCTTAAAAACTCTTAACTCTTAACTGTGCGGGAGCTAGATTTACTCTCCCTTCTTTAATCTCAAATCTTGACTTAAACTTTTGACTGACACGGGGATCCCTCCCTAGCTAGTGCGATTGCCCAACTCATGCGTATGAGAAGCCATACAGGCTTTCCTTAAACTTAAACTTACCGTGGAAGGCTCTTCTTCCACAATTCTCAAGAACATAACTGCTGCCCATCTTAAAAATCTCAAGAGCATAACTGCTGCTCAACTTAAATATCTCAAGAGCATAATTATTGCTCTATCTCAAAGATCTCAAGAGCATAACTGCTGCTGTATATGAAAATCTCAAATGGCAACAGACTGG